AAATAGAGGTCTCCCTTTGTGAAAACTCTTTTTGTCATTAGCTTCAGTCAGTTCAAAAAGGGTTAGTATAGCTCAGAATGTGACACTCTTACAGTTTGTCAACAAAATTCAAAATGATCATTTTAAGAAAATCTTTTTCATTTTATGCTGAGTTTCATTTAACATTTAAGGTTTTTTTGTGCTCTCTCACTTTTCCCTGCCTGGTTGTTGTATTTTATAATTTCTGGTTAATCTGTTGTGCACAGAGCAGTCATAAACAAAATTAGATTTTTAAATTATTTACAAAGCAATGAATTTCTTAAAACATCAAAAAGAAAATAAATTTATTTTAGGTAGACATTGAAAGAGAAGACTGCATGAAAGCACAAAACCAAAAGAGAGCAAACAGAGCAAAATGTAAACTATTTTTAAATGTTGACTGCTTATTTCAGGTCAAGGGGAAGACACGGTGCAGTGTGTAAAAGGAAATTGCCAAAGGGAACTGGAAAAGGGCTCATTTTGGCTTTTCACAGAGGGCAACAATTGTGGGTGAAATTTACTTAAGCTAGCTCCAGACTGTGGCAGGATACAGTTAAAAGCCTGTGTAGGTTGTATGAGGACAAGACATTTTATATCCCTGAGGAGCTCCGTTACTTACAGTGGATATAGGGCTAAAAGTGCCATAGAAATCTTTGCCTGGTTAAAAAAAGAAAGAGAGTTGCAGTTGCAAAACATTGAGAAACAACATCAGAGTGTCTGAAACCCATGAATGTTCAACTCCCTTCCAGTCGAGATTTTCAGCCCCACACCACCATCACACTGCTTTAAAGGTCACTGAGAATCAGACAGTGCATACTTACTAAACCTGACCTGGCCAATCAACCACCAGCCACAGGCTTTTTCACACAGATTGAGATGAGGTGGGCTGTGTGCAATCAGCTGAAAGAGGCTGAGCCTTCAGCCATGTCAGACCTTTTTTTTTTATTAACCTTTCAAATAAGCTGTGCCTTTGCAGAGGAAAATCTGGTATCCTTCCAAATCCTAGAGATTTTGATATGATGCTGCTCACAGCATTTTAATGTATTGCGTACAGTCTCTTGTAATGCCTATAATAAATATACACACTTTGGTTGTGTTTTTAGTGTGCAAAAATTTGTGAGTTCACCTTTAAGATAACCAGTGTTGAGTTATAAGTGAAATATGTCTCTTCATAAACTCTGATGAGCAGTTAGCAAAAGGGTGATGACCAATGTGTCATCTAACTGGTGGTTACCTGGCTACAAATACTGGATCATTCCTTGACATTCATATTGACGTTACTCCAGAGGGTGTGTGATCATTGGAGGAGAAAAGTAAAAGATAGCAAGACCTCATGTCCTGGAAACGGCTGTGAGCCGGACTGTGAGCGAGCCTGTCATGTTCCTCCAAGGCGGTGATGGCATGATGTGTGCATCTGAAGTGACAGCAGGCTGAAGCAAACAGATCTCCCATCCTCGTGACACTGACGGTACTCCTTCGCCGAGGGTATTTGGTTCACTTAGAACAAGTCAGCTGCATTCATCAAGTTTACTTACTGAGTGTTTGTATGACAGCACTGTCTCCCAAAAGTTTATAAAATAAACACAAACTCTGAAATGTAGGTTATGTGGCCGCTGTCTTTGCATTTTCTAAAGGCTTTTCCCCTCGCCTGTGCCTCTTCAGTATTTAGGTGACTCACTGTGCGCCTTTGTAAGAGTTGTAAGAGAGGCACAGTTGCAGGAACTTCATTTGCAATACAGTGGTACTGCAGTTTTACTGTAAAGACTGGCTTAAATCAATTTCCTTTTCCGTTTGTTACAGAAAAAAAGGGAAGCTCCTACATATATGGAAAGCTACATATATGGAAAAAAGCTGTATAAAGCCTTTTGTGGGTCCAGACAGAGCTTCGTGAAATTGCCTCAAGTGATGTCACTTGGGTCAGTGTCAGTTGGGGCTGAAGACTACAAGTTTCAAAATGGGTGTGTGGAGTTAGAAAGAAATTAACTTACCAGACCTCTGTAGCTCTCCCCTCATCTCTGCTTGAGGCTAGTGGCTCGAAGCTACATTAGCTGCTACTAGCATAATACACCTACATCTCTGACAGAAGAGTTGGCCGTCAAGTTGCATTATGGGTAATGTAGGTATGTAGGAGTTTTGAAAAGAAAGAAAAATGCATGGAATAAAAAAAAGCAATATCTCTGTTTCTGCTGAAACGATTTTGATAGATTTTTAAGACCAGTTTTTTTAAAGGCTAAGATGATCTCAGCCAATAGTGGAATTGAGAGTATCTTCGAAGAGCAACTCAAAAACTGACTGAAAAGCACGGTTTCATTGCACCTTTCAGATTGAAAGTTTCAAGTCTGTCCACACCTAGCACACCCAACATTGATGTCAAGGTGTACTGATGCACTCTTCACAGCAAGGTGAAAACTTTAATTTCTGGTGATCAACAGCAAGGGGAGTGAGTATACAGGGCCCTCGTGTGAGGAGGGAACACAAAGATACTAGATAGATAAATAAATAAATAAATAAATAGCTGTGGATGCGAGGAGGGCCCAAAGAGAATGCTTACATACAGGTTCCAGATTTTTGTGTGACGCCCCTGCATCTTCTTCAAATTTTTTGTCCTTGTAGATTTGTTGGAAACATCCAGATGGTAACTTTGCCAAAAATCAGCTACGTTGTGGTGTGGAATAAACCCCCTCTGTTGGAGCGTTGTTTGACAAATGTCTTCTCTCACTGAAAAGCTTTGTCCTCCTCCTCATTGCACTTAACAGCATAGACACTAGAGCTCAGATGATGTTTTGGTACGTAGACCATTGATGAGCCTGAAGCGCTGTTTTAGCATGCTGGCAGGTTTAAACAACACCAGAATGTTCTCATATCTATATAGTATCTTTTCAGAAACTCCAGCTACAGGAGAGGACATTTTCCTTGCATATTGTGACGGGGCTGTCACAACGTGATCACAGACCACAATGTGTCTCACATGTGTTTCTTGTTCTTATTGTACTCTTTGTCGATCATGTTGCTATTCTGAGGAAGCCTAAGGAAGGCTAACCACAGGCTGTCAATGGCTGCTGAGTGTGATTTTGTTCCCTCTCTTGGGACTCTGTGATTGCAGTCCTACAGGTGGTGAAAAGTCCAGATAACACTCATTACTGGGATTTGTGTAGATGATTGGATGAGTGTTGAAATGTCTTTGTTTTGTCAGTTACCATCCAGCCCAGCCACATGTGCGTTTAAATATCTTACTATGACTGAAATGAATCTTCCCAGACATAACTGTGGCTCAATTTACAAAGGTAATCCTTAAATTTGAGCAAGGAATTGAGAAGACAGCAAGGTAGCTCTTGACTAAAGAAACCAGATCTGTCTCACCAAATCGGATTTATCCCAAACAGCCTGAGCCGGATTCTCTGTAAAAAAATCCCAGAGCTTGTTAAATCTTACAAAGGGCGCACAAACAACTGCAGAATGAAGCCTTGAGATGAGTTTATTTTACCATCAATGTTTTCAGGGTAAATTATAAACAGCTGGCACCAAACGTTGGCATTGTAAAGAAACTTTATAGAGGAAAAGGGGTAACAGAGAAAAAAAAGTCCTAATTGAAATGTGGGACTGGTTGAGACTGATGCATGGGAATCCTTTTCTTCAGTTGGGTGTTGGTACTGTTAGGTTCACGAGTTCATCAAATCAATCATCAAAGTCAATGCAGCAGAGGATATATCACATATACTGCTTTTAGTCCAGAGTAACTCCAAAAAACTGGATAATACACTTCCTATAATGCAACTTAATAGTAGACCAGCCTGGTAACTTGTCATTTAAAAAGTTGGATGTATAATGTAGGATTTCCATTATTGACAGAAATACAATATAACATCTATGTTTTCAGTGTTGTATAAAGACCTTGCATAATGATCCATTATGTTTCTATTACTTTAGAATGAGCCATGTCAATCTACATGACCGCGGGTCCCTCCTTCAATGGATGTCGCCCAGTTGCGGACAAACAGGTCTACAGAGCGTGTTTCGCCACTAGGTTGTTCTTCTGCTTGTACAATTCCAGCAGTGTAGATGCCAGTAGATGCTCATCACTACATTGAATGTATACAAAGAAGAAGAAGAGGAAATAATAATAATAATAATATACAGTCTCTGAGTCGTCATCTGGTTTATTAAAAGTAAGAACAGAAGTGAAATTTGGACAAATGGAGGACTACACCTATTATTTTATCACGAGCCGACAGCGTGTGAATCTTTGTCGTCAAAGAAGCAATCACATGATGAAGCCAGACATGTCGGGACAGATGCAGACAGATGCAGACAGATGATGGCAGAAATAAAGAATATATTTGTTGTGGATTTTCCCAGATGGAAGGAGCTGATGCAGGAAAAACGTTTTTAAAGCGGAGCTGAAGTTGCCTGTTTTCTGCTGGACAGGTAATTAAGTTAGCGATGCAAATGCAAACTGTTGTTTGATAGCTGTAGCTAGAAGCTGGCCATAACCACCGATAGAAGTGACTTGTTTCCTCTTTCAGTGAAATATATATAGTTGGATTGTAATTTCAGTGTGTGTTTTGGCTTTGCTGTCGACATAAATGTGTCAGTTAAGCTTGTGAGACAATCAGCTGATTAATTGGCAATAAAACCGTAACTTACAGCTGGAAGCTCAGATCAGCCAGCTAAACTTTCACAACCCTCACCACTAGATGTCACTGAAACTTACACACTTAACCTTTAACATTTGTAGTCTCCAAGCCCTACCAAAACATAACCCTGGAGACATGATCACTGGTTATTTTGATAAGCACAGAAGATAAGCAAGCTGCTTCATAATCAAATCACAAAACAAACAAAAAAAGCAATATACTGCTATACTGACATTATAACTGTGTTCACAGGCTGAACAGTACTGCCCATAACTAATTAACCAATGTTACTGCAAGTTACAATACATTATATTCAGGTAAACAAGACGCCACAGTGCTCATCTTTAGATGTTTATTTCTGATATCATCATCAAAATTTTTACAAAACATTTTCTGACAATAATATACTCAAAGAAGAGCCGTATTTTTGCGCTTGGACCAGGTCTCCACAAAAATGCTTTAGGTCTGAATACAGTAAAAAGAACAAAAATCAAAATAAGAAAAATAAAATCAACAACAAACCAACTACCAAAGAAAACAATGCAGCGCATATTTACACCCTACAGAAATCAATGCTCTCTGCAGGAAATGAATGAGAAGGACACAGCGGGGACCCCCTGGTTTATATGGAAAGCATTTAAGAGGCAGCAATTTTATTTGAGACTTCAAGGAAACAAAGACTAATTCTGATATTGCTTTCTGTCACTTTCTCTCTGCTTTCTCTCTTACTGCACTCAAAAGCCAACTGCAGGAATAGAATGTAGCCCATTTGAATAAAAACCTTCCTTTCTTCGGTGCTCACATTAAATCCAATTAGGGGCGTAAACTGGCTTTGTCAGACAAACGAAAAAGTGTGTTTCCCTGACAGAGGTTAATGATCATGCCTTCCCTTTCTGTGTTCCCTCTGACATGAGCAATGGGATAAAAACAGAGTCAGGACAATGTCGGTCAGAGGTTAAAGACGTTCTGCTAATGTGAAACAGCATGGAACAATAACAATCAATGGGGACCGGGCTGGCCTGAACATCAGTAATGGTGACATTGGTTCAGAGGAGGTAGAGGAGTAGGTGCTGCTATACTGTAGATACGCACACACACAAGGCCAACTGGGTACATGCAGGGTAGCTAACTCACTAGCAATGCTTCCAGTCTCTCTTTCTGCCTTTTAGCATGAAAAAGTTATTAATTCTCACCACTTTGCATTCTGCACACACACTAATGACACGCTAACAAAAACAAGAATCTCAAATTGGGAATCTAGAAGTGGCAGATCAGGAGTATTACCTTATTTTTTTTCTGCTTTGCCCCCATATCCGTGTGTATATGTGCTGACTCTCTGGAGTCATGACTATGTGCTGTATGCCCCAGTGCTGCCTCCGGGAAAGACACAGATGTGTGTCAGAGGAAGAAAAGCAACTACACGTCTGGCTTGGAATTCATTTTTCAAATCTATTTATCAGGTAATGGATTAGAACCTACTGAAGCGTCGCAGATGGCCTTGGGTGAACTGGAATGGATGGGAGCGTCAAAACCTGGAGAACTTTATTATCATTTATCAAGGCATATGTGTTGCCCATGTTTGTAGGTTTTTCATTTGTGTATACATATTAATGTGTGATTCTTCTGCGGTTAAAGGGTGACAAGTAAAAATGTATTCTTGGTAACAAAGCGTAAATTATAATTTCAACTCAAATTAAGTGTTTAAACGTGTGTGTGTGTGTGTGTGTGTGTGTGATTTTATCTTTGTATGTGAGCATGCATAATTACTTACAGTTTAGAAGATGCAAGTTGATTTGAGTATGCCTTTTGTTTTGTTTGTTCTGTTTGTGCCATAACTAGCTACAGAATACTTGTGTGTGTGTGTCTTGCGTGTGACTGAGTTTGGCTGAAGCAGTTCGTGTCATTTCTTACAGTGCAGGTAAAGCTGCCCGGGACTTTCAAAAACATCGCAAAGCTTTCATTGTAACAGAATAAAATGTCTTTGCACTTACCCATTTTTACTTCTGTATTGTCCCTATTGTACATCATTTCTGGCTCCCCCTCTAGTCTCTTCTGCTTTCCCCCTTCCCTTGAAGATTTACATTTAGCTTTTTTCCTCTGCGCATTAACAGTTTTCACTGCAATTCTTCAGACCTTTATTCACTCCACCTCAAGCAAAAAAGAAAAGATGGGGGGAAAATGAGAAATGTTCCCAGTGGGGAATTGAGCCCAAAGAGTGAAGGGGGGTGGGGAGCTTGGGGTGTACAAAACCATAAACAAACAAAAAGGAAGAGAAAAGTAAGCCTGTTGGCATTGCAGGGCTTGCACAGACGTCCTGGACTTCAGCTCAAACATGCATCATTAGCATGCAGCGCCTGTGCTTCCAGCTCTCTGATGGCAAAAGAAATGGACAAAAGACTAAATAATTACTGGCAGCAGGATCCAAACATTCCGCTGAACATATCCAATTTTATCAGAGAGGTAGTCACGATTAATCAATCGCTTATTAGTAGTTGATTTAATTGTGAACATACAAAGATTTTATTAGCATTTTCTAATTACACATGAAGGGAAAAGTAGCTTTGATCATTGTGTTTAGACTGAATTGAACCATTATGACTGTTCTGAATAGTGAAGTAATTACAACATATGGGGTATTGGGCTTTAGCAGGATACTATTAAAGGGAAAGTCTGTCCCTGGAGTGAGTGCCCAACAGAAGGCTCTTTCTTTGTTTAAAAGCCTATATAGTGCCAGGAAATTCTACTTTAGGTGAGACAGGGGCAAGAATGGGTCAGCAAACAAGTTGCTTTAAAAACAGTGAAGTTGACCATGACACGTGCTGCTGGTTCTAGGGCACTCCATCCAGGAAATACTGTATCTTCCATACTGTTTGTCTCTGGTTCAGCGCTCCTCCCTAACCGGGCATACTTTCCCAAAATATCAGCATGCGGACAGAAATAGAACATCATTAAACAGGTTCACCCGAGTCACCAAGTGGCAGACATGAAATTCAGGCCAAGGAGTTAGCAGGGGTGATATAGAGCAAGGCAAGACAATACATGGATAGAATTGAGAGAGCTCCCATTATAAAGACATTGGCACAGCTGCTATTACAAAGTAAACTCCACCAGCACTATTAAGCAACCGTACTGAGCGAATCAACTGCTTTTTATGCAGTGTCCTGTACACGAAGGGGACTGAACCCTTCTTGGTCGTGAAATCATGAAGACTTTTGGGGCTGGCTTTTGGTAAAACATTTAACAAATTCATGGCACATCAAAAAGAACATCCTTCACAAGTTAAACTCTTGTTATAAAGAATAGCACACTTCTTCTCCCCGAGTAGACCCTGAAATGGCAAACGAGAGAAGTGGATTGGGAAGTAACTAACCACACATCATATAGCCACCTCCTGCAACATGAAACATGTCTGAAGTCAAAACAGAAAATATGGATCTCTATGAGGTTTGACTCTTGAAGTACATCACAACAGCAGGTCTCTCAATATTCCCTTTCTCATGTGGTTCAGTAAAATGATTGGATTTGAGAAATAACCTCACTAACATAATTTGTGTTTAATGGTAGAATAATGATGGGAGCAGTTAGAAAAATATTTATCATTGAAACAACAGGAGCATTACAGTAGGAACCTCTTCACCGAGTCATCTTGGTAACAGATTCCCACTGGAAAGTGAATAAGGCTCCTCTTCTGTTCACACACAGTTTGTGTTTCAGAAGAAGTGAAGTTCATACTTTTTTTTGTCATTAAAGATTCACTATTTACACGATAAATAAGTTCTATTCGATTTTGTCCTTAATAGAATTTCTTGACATCATCTTTGAACACCTCAAAAACGGTCTCTTATTCTCCAAGCCAAAAAGACAAAATAACAAAACAAACAAACAAAAAATCCCTATTTTTTCTCTTATCTTGAGGATACACCCACTTTTTGTGGGGAATTTTGGCCCTTTGCAGTTTTTCATCTGTGGATCAATCAGTTGTGCTGTGGGAGAACCAAGCACAGATTCACAACTCCCCAGAGTATGACCAAAAGCTTGGATTAAGCCAGAGATGATATTTGACAGGCGATCACAGACGTGTCTGAAGTCCTCATCAATTCCATATGTCAATGAGTAGTGCTCGACACAGTGGCCAAGGGGTTACCAAGTGAAATAAAGTCCCGCACTGTAGGCACGCTTTTTGGAAAAAAAGATGTCAGGCAATTTTCCCAGTACAGCCCATGGGTTCATATGCAGGTCAAAGAGAAGTCAACGTGCTGGTTCAACATGCCCCACTAGGCACTGTTGTTCTCTGTGGTGGAGGGGAGACAGGAGCACATGGCCAGAGCTTTGTCAACCCAGCAAGATGTTGCTCTCTAAATTGTCCAGAGTGATGAAAGTCAAATTTTGACACATGTTTCAAATGACTGTTTGGGGCAGTGAGAGTGGTTTGACCTTCAGTAAAGTTGACCTTTTTTAAGAATATGTACAATACCTTGCATTCAAATGTACTTATTTTACCACATAACTCCCCATGATTACCTCTTTAAAGCATAGTGAATCATTCAGCTGGGATATAATCATATACAAAGACCTGCCATTGTGTGTGAAAGGGCCCACCTGTGTGTTTAAGAAATGATTAGAACATGCCACAATATCTCCTCAGGTGTTTCTGTGGTTAATGTTATTCATACCATCACCAAAATCATGTATACCAATTGACCTGATGTTGCAAGGACCAGGTTAGATACATCATTATGGCAGATAGCTTTTAAATTTCAGTTTGACTATCTCACCTGTATGTATCACGTGACTCCTTAGCTAATCTGAAAAGACAAGCCCAGTTCATCTGAAACCACCTGGGGATTTGGTTGCAATTGTGAATGCGAGTTGACTGAGGCTAGTTTAGTAGACCAACTGGCATTTTAAGAATGCCCTCAGCTAAAGTCGCTTATGTGCATTAAAGGAAAAAAATATAGTAAACTCTTTGGTTTGACATGCACATCAATGAAATTCAGCATGAGATGCCACATTTAAAGGAACAAAAGAAAGTCAAACAAAAGGAGAAATTCTATGTAATACTTATCTTGAGAAAATGACATTTTTTTCTGAAATACTGATATGGATTTGCTTTTGTTAACAACTACTGACTGGATATTTTATTAATAATCACAGTAAGAAGCCCATTTCTCTTCACATGATGTCCAGCTTCATCTCTTTTATCTTTTATGTTAATGCTTTCAGTTTTTGTGATCGAGAACTCGTGTTTATTGCACTTTCCCCTTCACGCCTGACTCAGCGAGTGGATTGCTGTTATGCTTGTGAACAGGTGCCCCATGACATTGTCATTGGATATTGGCAAAGACCAGATTTGGAAACAAAGTAATTTTTTTTGTCATATGCTGGATTACCGCCATGATTCAGTAGTAAGAAGTTTTCTATGAGGTGCTTTGGAAAAATTAATCAAAATAATCTGTAAGGATGTCTCCGCCTCTACTGTATATTAGTGAGACAGTGTGTTTCAGATGCCAAATCCCTCCAGGCAAAATTGTCCTCTAGTTCATATACTCATGTTCTGAAAACAAGGCCCCACTAAAAAACCAGCTCGTCTGCCCCTTCATTTCAAAGTCATGGTGAGTAAGAGGCCCTTGCCCCACTTCTAACAACCAGACTGGACTTGCTAGCGTCCAAATTTGAGTGTGCCGGTGCGTTCAGTGGAAGGAAAAGGACTGCTGCTGGGACCTTCAGTTGGTGGTCTAAGAGATGGTGGAGGAGAGCGAGGCCCTGGCACAGGGGCACCTATGCTGGCAGCAGTAGGCACGGCAGGCAGCGCTACTGTCTGTATAGTGCCCCTATCACATGGCCCCAGGTCCTCTAGGCCCTCTAGGCCCTGTGGGGGTCCCTCATAACCCATGTTGAGCCGCAGGGGTTGATGGGCCTGGCAGTAGTCTACAATAGGCTGTTCATAGCGGTAGAAGGTCAGTGCACCCAGTTGGTGGGGGACCTGTTTAGATGGACAGACAGCATAGAGGAAAAGACGAAGAAGATAAAGGCAGTAGAGATAGAAATAGAGGAAGTAGAAGAGGGAACAAAAGGAGACAGAGAAGAAAAACATGAGCCATACAAATTCTCAACTGTGTCTTTCAGATATACCTAAAACAGATTGTTTAAAAAGATATATTTATGTCCTGATACACACAAATGTTGCTATTTCTACAAGAGGATGTTAATCAATAATAACACTATAAGGAATGTCCTCTTGCAGTGAGCAGAGTCTAGAAAATCACAGATTGATGACTAAAATGATTACACACCAGAGTTAAGTCTGTTAGAAATTAAGTCAGTAGTTAAACTACAGAATGCTGGATGCTTATGAACATAAATACATATACAAAAGGGCACTTAAAAAATTACATTTTCACCCCAATGTCCACACAGGTTTTGTTTTTTTTTTTTTACATTTAACGGATATATTCACAAAAAAGGTTTCCTGCTTTTCCTCCAAATTCAGTGAAGGAGGGACACATTTCATTTGTGTTGAGAACAAATTGTACGTGAAAAGCTAAATAAGAACATCTAACCAGAAACAATGTCCTATAATTATCCAGAAATAAAAAAAATAGTCCGTATTAGACCATTTCTTTGGTAGTGTATTTCCAGTTGCTGTTGTTATTTTATGATCTTGGTGAGACGACCTTTCCAAATAAATAATGATTAATTATTGTATTTTTGGAGAAAAACAAAATAACAAGCTCTAGATTTACTGCAGCTACACCAGGCACAGCTGTTTTCTTTTCAAATGATTATTGCATATTTCCAAATGATGTTTCAATATTCCAGTGCAGTTTATTTGTTACCCAACATTTTATTGCATCCTTTGTGACTCCAAGCCTACAGCACAGTTAGTTTGGCAGCTCACTACAGGCCCTCTGCAATCATCCTCACATGGTGACCACCTGAGCCTCCAGCTAACCAAAACCTATTTGCTGCCCACCAAAAGAAGCCTCTTCGACAACTGCTTTTTACAGATGTAAGAAGCATTTCATGCCGCCGGAGTATTCTACCTGCCCATGACTTGTACTGTAATGCTCACTGTGGCTGTCAAAAGAATAAGATGTGCATTTTGCATGTTTAGATTGGCATGCACGTATGAATGACACACAAACCACGCTGCATAGGACAAAATCACAGACGCTTTTGAGTTCAACCTTTGGTACAAGAGCTGGAGCAAATAGGCCTGTGATCTCTCTCCGTGTCACTTGTGTCACAGCCAGGAGCACTCGTCACATCTGGCTATGTGTCTGGTCTTGTGCTCCCGCCCTAAACCTTAAAACAGTGCCAAATAAACAGATGAGACTCTTGTGACACTCTGTCTCCCTAACTTTAAATCACACACTTATTCGCCTCAAAAAGGAGGCCAATTATGAGATTTCTAACAGGCCGTGAAAACAGCAGGGTAAGATGGCAGCTGACCTGGATTAAACACAGCAGCCTGGCAGAGAGACAGATCTGATGATCTGTACACACAGGCGACAAGAAACACACAGCAACAGCAGGAGCGACAGATATGACACTGACACGAAGACATGAATAATACAACCCCTGACTCTTGCGGAGGTGTTGGAAGCAGAGCAAGTGTCACAACTGCACCGTCTTCCATGCACATCCTTTACATTTTATTTTTAACCTTAACCAGTGATGTTAACCAGATCTTGAGACAAGATTTCATCTGGTGCTTGACAAAATAGCCTTTATGAGAGAGATCATCATCATATTTGAGGGAACGTAAGAGAAATTACGACAGGATTTTTAAAAAGGGGACCGACTTTGTCAATGATATGCAGATATATCCTGGTTGGGAAGGGGAATAGTGTGTGTTTGTGAGCGTGTGTGTGAATGTGTGTGTGCAAACAGATTTCAAAGTCAAATGGAAACAGTCTAGGCTAACGCAGCTTGGCAGTTCAGGAATTATCCTGAACCACGGGGCTAAGATAAAGCCACTCTGAAAGCATTAACACCAGTTCTGTTTTAGATAAAAATAGTGTTATTTGTAGCCTCAAGCTTTACTGTAACACGCTTCCATGACAGTGCTGCATTACAATTCAGCAGTTGCACAAAGTTGTAGTCATGTATTTATACAAAACTGTAGCTAAGAGCATGTTTGCATGGTCTAGTTTTAATACAGGTAGCAGGACTTGGGATATCACCCTTCAGTCCTTCAACACAGCCTTTCTTTTAACTAGATTTACGCACCTACAGAACCACCACCTTCCTTCTTTCCATACCTCCTTCCTCCTTAAATGGCCTCCATTAAGTGAGGTTGAGTCATTACATTATAGGCACTCAGTGGATTACTCCCCTCATTCCCCTTTCAGTTTAAACCCTTCACCAGCTCTGATCCCTCCGCCACCACATCGCACCACCACCTCTGCCTCCACCATCTCATCTCCTGTCACACATCCCAGTCTACCTCAGCTCTACTCAAAGCTCCCTGCCCAGGTCTAATGAATTAATTAACCAATATTAAGTCCTAACCGTTTCAGTAGGTTCCATCAAATTGTCAGGGCATAAATCTGTGTCTTGTATTTCTGCATGTCTGTGAACGTTAGTAGAAGAAGGGAGAAGGGACAGAACGAAAGAAAATGCAGCAGATACAACAAGATAAGGGGTGTTATGCCAGTTTGACATTCCGCCTATAATTTCTAACATTCAGTGCTGCTCTAAAAAGAACATGCAATGTTGAAAGATGCAGAAATACCAGACAGCCTGACTTGGTTTGTTGGACAAAGTCATTGACCCAAAACACTCTTTACGTCAGTTACCGTGAACAAAAGGTGCTATTGATATTCACCGGCCATCCATGCAGTTGCAAGGTACAGCTAGCTCATTATGAATGCTATCAGCCTTTCTTTGTGCCTCTCAGCATTAGGAAATTATTAATTCCTCACACTGAATAGTCTGTTGACAGTGGAGACAGCCAAATATGTAAATGGTTAACATCTGGTCAGACTAACAAAAATACAAAATAGACACTTCATTTTATTTTCCAAATGTTCTAAAATGTACGTGGTTTGGGTGGAAATGAATGATGTTAAGATGGGTCTTATCTAACAGGCCAAACGCTGTCGAGTTGCTGCTCTTGTTCACAAAGTGAAAACATCGCAGAGCCAATTCTTTTTCGTCAGTTTGTGATCTGTCCATTAGCATTAACTTAGATTCAAATCCAGGCTCATTTGATCCTTTTTTTTCCACCAATGAAACAGCCTTCCTTTGCTGCCTAGAATATGAATCCATGGATATATGAATGTTTTACACTAGAAAATTATGATCTGTCAATCATCTTTTGCATGAAGCAGGTGGTTTCTGTAGACATTTGAGGAGAGAAATTGGCACTGGAGTTATATCATTCTGATTTCCACATGTTTACACTGGGCAACAACACATTAGAACTGATCCATCACGAGATACATTTAGGTTATTCCATGGACAGCTGTCATTGTGAGCATTAAAAGGTCCCAAATAAGCACAAATTGAACCTATATTGTATGCGGCAGTTTCTACCTGTCAGAAGTCATTTGCATAAAGAAAAACAACTCTCTCCGCTGCCCATGTTGCACCGCTGGATGTTTTTTTCTTCTTTGGATCTCTGCCACAGGTACCTGCATGTGCTTTAACTGACAATGACTGGCATCCTGCCTCTTCCTGGATCTTTATCTCTGCATGCTTGAACACACAAGGGTGACAAAAGCTTTGAAACAACCTGCCCAAGGAGATTAAGCCAACCAGGCCAGTGTCATCTTTTAAGTATTTTTTTTAACTGGCTTTTATCTGACAGACTTTTTCTGCTTCGGCTTTTCTGGTTGTCATTTTCACATGCTTGATAAGCTGTGACATTTTGTTGTAAGTGAAATTTTAAAAGACGCTGTTCAAATAAAGTTGTTATCATAAAGAAGCTATTGTTAGCTACTGTGTGTACCACTGCGCACAAACGCTTAGTATACTTGATAGCCAAAGACAGTAAAAACCAGAGAGAATTGCAAAACATTTCCTTCCTTCATCTGTGGATACTTAGTTTCTGTTGCTTCCTCACAACAGCTCTAATTTGTTAGATGAGTCCCTTAAAAAGCCCCAAATCCCATAAATGCATTTTTACAGTTTTCCAGTGCCCCTCTGAAGTTGTGTTTCTTTTTTGCATTCACACTTTTATGAGCAGCTAAGGAGGCAGTAACTGTGCCACAGGCAGACAATGCTAATGCGACCCTGGGCTTTAGGAGCATTATGGTTCAAAAGTCTGCCGCTCTCCCAGCCAAACACTTTGATCCCCTCAAGTCACCATATTGTGGCACACAGAAGCATAACAAAGTGGAGAGGAGGTGCAACGGACCCCCACTAAAATGTTGCTTAGGCTGTTATTTTTCTTATATTCCCATAAATGTTCTGTTTTTATTTTTGTGAACCTATGAATTATGTTGGGAATTGTTAGTTCTTCTCTGTCTCTCTCTGTGGATGTCACACAGTATTCCCAAAATACAACTGATTATTTTGTTTTTCATAAATTGTTAAATATTATTGTTGTTATGGCCTGCTACTGCTCTGTAAAAGTTTTCAGGATGTATGTTTATTAACAGCAAAAAAATTTGTAGGATCACTATCAATTTTTAGGAATTATTGAAACAAACCACGTCTGAGTTACTGGGGAAAAAACTGTTTAATTACTCTTTTCTTTGTCTAGTTCTTACCCCTCAAGTCATCTTTTCAGTAGTCTAGAGATTTATTACCATAATTCAATTAATCTATATTTAAAGCAAGCTGTGATGCATATTTGATGTAAAGGTCCAGTGTTTATGCTGGTGAAACTATTTCAGTATAACCATGTCCCACAGTGCTGTGTTGTTGTACAAAGTAGTTAGTGCCACTGAGAACAAATCTCAGCTTCCAGAGAGCTCTGTGTTTTGTGTTTTTCATACCTTTGCCACCCACTACCCACTAATTTCCTTGGCCATT